GTAGTAGTAGTAGTAGTAGTAGTAGTAGTAGTAGTAGTAGTAGTAGTAGTAGTAGTAGTAGTAGTAGTAGTAGTAGTAGTAGTAGTAGTAGTAGTAGTAGTAGTAGTAGTAGTAGTAGTAGTAGTAGTAGTAGTAGTAGTAGTAGTAGTAGTAGTAGTAGTAGTAGTAGTAGTAGTAGTAGTAGTAGTAGTAGTAGTAGTAGTAGTAGTAGTAGTAGTAGTAGTAGTAGTAGTAGTAGTAGTAGTAGTAGTAGTAGTAGTAGTAGTAGTAGTAGTAGTAGTAGTAGTAGTAGTAGTAGTAGTAGTAGTAGTAGTAGTAGTAGTAGTAGTAGTAGTAGTAGTAGTAGTAGTAGTAGTAGTAGTAGTAGTAGTAGTAGTAGTAGTAGTAGTAGTAGTAGTAGTAGTAGTAGTAGTAGTAGTAGTAGTAGTAGTAGTAGTAGTAGTAGTAGTAGTAGTAGTAGTAGTAGTAGTAGTAGTAGTAGTAGTAGTAGTAGTAGTAGTAGTAGTAGTAGTAGTAGTAGTAGTAGTAGTAGTAGTAGTAGTAGTAGTAGTAGTAGTAGTAGTAGTAGTAGTAGTAGTAGTAGTAGTAGTAGTAGTAGTAGTAGTAGTAGTAGTAGTAGTAGTAGTAGTAGTAGTAGTAGTAGTAGTAGTAGTAGTAGTAGTAGTAGTAGTAGTAGTAGTAGTAGTAGTAGTAGTAGTAGTAGTAGTAGTAGTAGTAGTAGTAGTAGTAGTAGTAGTAGTAGTAGTAGTAGTAGTAGTAGTAGTAGTAGTAGTAGTAGTAGTAGTAGTAGTAGTAGTAGTAGTAGTAGTAGTAGTAGTAGTAGTAGTAGTAGTAGTAGTAGTAGTAGTAGTAGTAGTAGTAGTAGTAGTAGTAGTAGTAGTAGTAGTAGTAGTAGTAGTAGTAGTAGTAGTAGTAGTAGTAGTAGTAGTAGTAGTAGTAGTAGTAGTAGTAGTAGTAGTAGTAGTAGTAGTAGTAGTAGTAGTAGTAGTAGTAGTAGTAGTAGTAGTAGTAGTAGTAGTAGTAGTAGTAGTAGTAGTAGTAGTAGTAGTAGTAGTAGTAGTAGTAGTAGTAGTAGTAGTAGTAGTAGTAGTAGTAGTAGTAGTAGTAGTAGTAGTAGTAGTAGTAGTAGTAGTAGTAGTAGTAGTAGTAGTAGTAGTAGTAGTAGTAGTAGTAGTAGTAGTAGTAGTAGTAGTAGTAGTAGTAGTAGTAGTAGTAGTAGTAGTAGTAGTAGTAGTAGTAGTAGTAGTAGTAGTAGTAGTAGTAGTAGTAGTAGTAGTAGTAGTAGTAGTAGTAGTAGTAGTAGTAGTAGTAGTAGTAGTAGTAGTAGTAGTAGTAGTAGTAGTAGTAGTAGTAGTAGTAGTAGTAGTAGTAGTAGTAGTAGTAGTAGTAGTAGTAGTAGTAGTAGTAGTAGTAGTAGTAGTAGTAGTAGTAGTAGTAGTAGTAGTAGTAGTAGTAGTAGTAGTAGTAGTAGTAGTAGTAGTAGTAGTAGTAGTAGTAGTAGTAGTAGTAGTAGTAGTAGTAGTAGTAGTAGTAGTAGTAGTAGTAGTAGTAGTAGTAGTAGTAGTAGTAGTAGTAGTAGTAGTAGTAGTAGTAGTAGTAGTAGTAGTAGTAGTAGTAGTAGTAGTAGTAGTAGTAGTAGTAGTAGTAGTAGTAGTAGTAGTAGTAGTAGTAGTAGTAGTAGTAGTAGTAGTAGTAGTAGTAGTAGTAGTAGTAGTAGTAGTAGTAGTAGTAGTAGTAGTAGTAGTAGTAGTAGTAGTAGTAGTAGTAGTAGTAGTAGTAGTAGTAGTAGTAGTAGTAGTAGTAGTAGTAGTAGTAGTAGTAGTAGTAGTAGTAGTAGTAGTAGTAGTAGTAGTAGTAGTAGTAGTAGTAGTAGTAGTAGTAGTAGTAGTAGTAGTAGTAGTAGTAGTAGTAGTAGTAGTAGTAGTAGTAGTAGTAGTAGTAGTAGTAGTAGTAGTAGTAGTAGTAGTAGTAGTAGTAGTAGTAGTAGTAGTAGTAGTAGTAGTAGTAGTAGTAGTAGTAGTAGTAGTAGTAGTAGTAGTAGTAGTAGTAGTAGTAGTAGTAGTAGTAGTAGTAGTAGTAGTAGTAGTAGTAGTAGTAGTAGTAGTAGTAGTAGTAGTAGTAGTAGTAGTAGTAGTAGTAATAGGCTGACAATCCCCCCCACCCCCGCTGCTTCGCCATCACACAGACCCTGATAATGGCGATATCGTTGACTCCTGTGGTCGTGGAGAAGTCGTGCATGAAAACCTTCTGGCTTCGCTTGACCTCCTCCAAACCCGAGGTGTGGTCGAGGTTCTGCTCTCCAGCCACGATGTCGAAGGAGGTGTCGGAGTACCTGAAGGAGAGGAAAGAAGGGGGGGGGGGTTGTAAAGACGGAAGGGGAGACAAGAGGTATTGAAAGGAAGTGACATGAAGGGTGAAAGAGGGAAGAAGAGCTAGAGAGAAAAGTTAGATGAAAAGGAAAGAACAGAAAAAAAATAAAATACACGAAAATACCCGCTTACTTTCTTATAAAAGAATAGAAAAGAAAATGGAAGAAAGAAAGAAAGACCAATATTGGCGCGACTATACATTACACTATGATGAACTTACCCCTTGACGCAGTGGGCAGCTGTAAGGACGTGGTTGTCATTGATAATGGTTCCGCCACATGTGTGAGAGCTTCCGAAAAGACTGCGGTGCTGGAGCGACACCTGCGTTGGGATATGTGTCAGGGGATGAGGGAAGCCGAGAGACAGGTGAACGAGAATAAGACTAATAAGAGTAATTTCAAAGGTTAACCAGATTGAAGAAAATGAATTTGGTAATAATAACAATGATAATAATTATAATGATGATAATAATAACAATAAATAGTAATAATGATGATGATGATGTTATTATTATTATTATCATTGTTATTAACATCATATTGGAATCATTATCATTATCATTATTATCCTTATCATTAACATAAATATTTGTTTTGATAATTATTATTAGGATTAATTATGATTATAATTATAAGTAGTAGTATTGTTATTATTATTTTTCTCAATACCATTATCTTTGTAATTATCACTATTATTGTTATTATTGTTTTCATTATAATCATGGAGGCATGGAGGTAACTTACAGAATTTACATGCTTTCAGGCAGAGTACCAGTCCTACTGATATTATTATTACTGCTATTGCACTTGCCATTATTGTTCTTCTTCTTCTTCTTTATCAATATCAATATTATTACTATCATTACTATTATTATCATTATCATGATTATTATCATTAGTGTTATCATCATAATTGTTGTTGTTATTATTAGTAGTAGCATTATTATTATTAGTAGTAGTAGTATTTTCATTATGATTATTATTATCATTATTATCATCATCATTATAATAATGATAATTATTGGTAAAATTAATAACAATAATAATTATTATTATCATTATTGTTATTATTATTATTACAATTATTATTCTCGTTATTATTGCCATTACTTTTATTATCATTACTATTATTATTATCATCATCATTATAATCATCATTATTATTACTATCATCATCATTATGATTCCTACTACTACTGCTATTACTATTATCATTGCTGTTATTATCCTCCTCCTGTTATTACTATTATCAGTATTGTTGTTAACATTATTATCATTATCCTCATTCTCATTATCAGTCATTGTTATTATCATTATTATCAATATTCTTATTATTATTACTACTACTATTATTATTGTCATTATCATTATCACTATTGTCTTAATCATGAATATGACCATCGTTATTATGATTGGGATGATCATGGTGATAATGATGATGATGATAATTATGATTGTTGTCGTTATTACTATTATTATATATATATATATATATATATATATATATATATATATATATATATATATATATATATATATATATATATATATATATATATATATATATATATATATATATATATATATATATATATATATATATATATATATATATATATATATATATATATATATATATATATATATATATATATATATATATATATATATATATATATATATATATATATATATATATATATATATATATATATATATATATATATATATATATATATATATATATATATATATATATATATATATATATATATATATATATATATATATATATATATATATATATATATATATATATATATATATATATATATATATATATATATATATATATATATATATATATATATATATATATATATATATATATATATATATATATATATATATATATATATATATATATATATATATATATATATATATATATATATATATATATATATATATATATATATATATATATATATATATATATATATATATATATATATATATATATATATATATATATATATATATATATATATATATATATATATATATATATATATATATATATATATATATATATATATATATATATATATATATATATATATATATATATATATATATATATATATATATATATATATATATATATATATATATATATATATATATATATATATATATATATATATATATATATATATATATATATATATATATATATATATATATATATATATATATATATATATATATATATATATATATATATATATATATATATATATATATATATATATATATATATATATATATATATATATATATATATATATATATATATATATATATATATATATATATATATATATATATATATATATATATATATATATATATATATATATATATATATATATATATATATATATATATATATATATATATATATATATATATATATATATATATATATATATATATATATATATATATATATATATATATATATATATATATATATATATATATATATATATATATATATATATATATATATATATATATATATATATATATATATATATATATATATATATATATATATATATATATA